GTGGGAACCTGCAGCGAGCCCGGAGAAATGGTGGAAAAAATGGCACTGACAGGATTTCCCCTGGTCTCCCGCTCAAGCTGCAGCCAATTCTGGGGTCACACTTTTGGAAGAATGTCAAGGCCGAAGAGCTGGTGCAAGGGGAGATTTCCCGGAATGGGACCAGAGATGAGGGTCTTCAGTTCTGTGCAATGACTCCCAAAGTGAGGATTGAAAAGATCCTGAGATAACAAGGTGCAGAGCTGGATGAACACAGCAGGCCAAGCAGCATCAGAGGAGCAGGAAGGCTGATGTTTCGGGCCTAGACCCTTCGAAGGGTCCTCATTGAGAGGATCCTGGTGGATTGTCAGGGAGAGGTGAAGAGGTGCTGGACAATACGTTTGAGCTTGTGTTTCCCACAAAGTCAAACACAACTTGGGTATCCGTGCCTGGGGCTGCTTTGGGGCTGAAGGATATGAAGGAGAGCAGCAGGTTGCCAGTCACTCCCAGGACAACATCCCCCACCCCCTCCCAACCTCTCTCCACCCAACCCCCACTCCCAACCGACCTTCCCTCTCATCGCCCAACTTCAGGTATTCCCTGTTACTGCTCTAACGCTGTTTATTCCTCATTCTGCTCTGGGAGTTGTCTCCGCCTCTCAGACTGGGTGGGGCCGGGAGCAGCCAATAACAAGAATTCCCTGAGGATTGCAGTGAACGCCCAGAGGGATTGCAGACTCACAGTCATGCAAATAGAAACAGACCCTTTAGTCCAAGCCGTCCATGGCTGACCAGGTTTCCTAAATTGTGCCAGTCCCATTTGCCTGCTTTTGGCCCATATCCCTCTAAACCTTTACGACCCATATTGCTGTCCAAATATCTTTTAACTGTGTAACTGTACCTGCCTCTGCTACTTCCTCTGTCAGCTCATTGCATGTACCTCCCACCTTCTGTGAGAATGCGTTGCACCTCAGATCCTTTTTAAATCTTTCTCTCCTCACCTTAAACTAATGTCATCCAGGTTTGGACTCGCCTACCGTGGGGAAAGATCTTGTCTGTTCACCTTATTTGCATCCCTCATGATTTTATAAATCTCCATAATGTCACCCCTCAGCTTGCTATGGTCCAGAGAAAAAAAAGTCTGTCAGCATCTCCTTATACCTCAAGCCTTCCAGTCTCGGTAACATCTTGTAAATTATTTTTGCACCGTTTCCAGTTTAATGCCATCCTTCCTGTAGCAGGGTGACCCGAATTGCCTGCAGTGTCCGTGCCAATGTCTTGTACAGCTGTCACACAGCGTCCCATCAGCTGTACTCAATGCTCTGACGGATAAACACAAGGTTACCAAATGCTGCCTTCACCACCCTGTCTACCTGTGATACCACTTTCAAAGAGCCATATACCTGCACCTCTGGGCATCTCTGTTCGACTACACTTCCCTCCCCTTAACTGTATATATCCTGCCCTGATTTGTCTTACCAAAATGCAACACCTCACGTTTATATGAATTAAACTGCATCTGCCAATCCTTGCTCACTGCCCCAGTTCACTAAGATGCCATTGTACCCGCAGATATCCTTCTTCACAGAACCACCGTGATCCGAACCACCATGTAAATAATTTTTTGTGTCATTTCTTTTATCAGTTAGTTACGTCTGTGTCTTGTTCTCAATATTCCCGATCAACTCTGTCCAAAATCATGATTTTTAAAACCCCAGCAAATCTCCTCCTTATTTCCTGTTCTGCAAAAGAAATAATCTCAACTTCTCCAATTTATCCACGTAGCTGAAGCTCTCTGCTCACTGGTCATGGGATGTTTCCCCACCACTGAGGATAAATTGACTGGCATGCAGTTACCGTGTGCATCGTTAAACCCTCTTTTTGAACCAACATTTGCAATAAGATTATGGCCAGTGCCTCTGCAATCTCCACCATTACTTCCCCCAGCATCCTTCCACACATCAGATTGGAACTGACGGCTACAAAATCGGACTACAGTCAGCTTTTCCAAAGTCTCCCATTATTAGTTTTTAAAATCATCAGCGCCTTGCTTTATTTTTTTTTTCAGAAGAAGCTGACTAGCATTTGTAGCCCATCCCTGATTGCCCTTGAACTGAAAGACTTGCTCAGCCATTTCAGATGGCAATTAAGAGCCAACCACATTGCTGTGGGTCTGGAGTCATGTGTAAGGCAAAGGATGGCAGATTTAGTCTCTAAAGGATATTAGTGAAATCGAACAGCTCACTGTGACTAAGACAAGATTCACATTCCTGATTTATGAATTTAATTGAATTGTTATTCTCATGAGATTTGAACCTAGACCCCCTACAGGACATTGGTGAGGGCCCTTTTAAAATATTGCACTCAACTCTGGTCTCCCTGCGAGAGGAAAGATGCTGCGAAACTTGAAAGGGCTCAGGGAAGATCTACAAGGATGTTGCTGGGACTGGAGGGTCCAAGACACAGGGTGAGGCTGAACAGTCCAGGACTTCCCTCGCCAGAGGTCAATGGGCCATCATACAGAGGCCTACAGAACCATGAGGGGCACGGACAGGGCAAATAACCAAGAGCCCCCTCCCAGGGGAAGGGAGTCAAAAACTAAAGGACATATGTTGAAGGTGAGAGGGGAAAGATTCAAAAGGGACCCAAGGGCAACCGTTCCCATGCTGAGGGTGGTTCGTGTATGAATTGAGCTGCCAGAGGAAGTGGTAGAGGGGGGTACGATTACAACATTTAAAAGGCATTTGGATGGGCACATGAACAGAAAGGGTTTAGAGGGTCATGGGCCAAATGCTGGCAAATGGGACCAAATCTGTCCAGGATACGTGCTTGGCATGGACACGTTGTTTCCATGCTGTATAAATCAGTAACTCCACCAGCAGCCTGATCCAGTGATATTGCCACCATCTCCTCCTGAATTTTACAGCAACAATAATGGCGATGCCTACATCTCTGTAAAAGAACTACAAATCACAGTAGGAAAATAGACAGAAAGCCTGTGTTGAAATGTTGGTGTGATAAAATGAATACCATTCATACGTTCTTGCCAAAACAAACCGTTTGATGGGAGGGCCAGGAATTTAACAATACACAATTTAATTTATATTTCAAGGCTGAGAAACACCACCAAAAATAATTTTCTTTCAGTTAGTTATGTATCAACAGTGATTGGTGAGAGAGAATGCAGGGAGAATATTTTTCACTCATTGTTGGGTGGGGGGGAGGGGAATGCTACTCACGACCTGAAAACGTAATGGAGGCAGAAACCGTCAAGAATTAAAAAAAACTTGGAAATGAACCACAGCTCACAGGGCCACAGACCAAGAGTGGGAAGATGGGATTAAATTGTTTTAACACCAACCACCGGCTGAGTGGTCTCTTTCTGTACATTTTCTTTCACATTTTCTGTAAATGCATGTTCTTTCACAACTTCCCTCCAGAATTTCATTCATTCCTATAACCCACTGTGCCGATCATTTAACATCAAAACATTCCCAATGTTAGAACATTACAGCGCAGTACAGGCCCTTCGGCCCTCGATGTTGCGCCGACCTGTGAAACCAATCTGAAGCCCATCTAACCTATACTATTCTATTATCATCCATATGTTTATCCAATGACCATTTAAATGCCCTTGAAGTTGGCGAGTCTACTACTGTTGCAGGCAGGGCGTTCCACGCTCTTACTTCTCTCTGAGTAAAGAACCTACCTCTGACATCTGTCCTATATCTATCACCCCTCAATTTAAAGCTATGTCCCCTCGTGCTCGCCATCACCATCCGAGGAAAAAGGCTCTCACTGTCCACCCTATCTAATCCTCTGATCATCTTGTATGTCTCTATTAAGTCACCTCTTCACCTTCTTCTCTCTAACGAAAACAGCCTCAAGTCCCTCAGCCTTTCCTCATAAGATCTTTCTTCCATACCAAGCAACATCCTGGTAAATCTCCTCTGCACCCTTTCCAATGCTTCCACATCCTTCATATAATGCGACGTCGAGAACTGTACGCAATACTCCAAGTGCGGCCGCACCAGAGTTTTGTACAGCTGCAACATGACCTCATGGCTCCGAAACTCAATCTCTCTGCCAATAAAACCTAACACACACAGTCTCTGTCTCTCTCTCTCACACACACACTCTGTCTCTGATCCTCTGTCTCTCTCTCTCGCACACACACTCTCTATTTCTCTGTCTCTCTCTCTCTGTCTCTCTCTCTCACACGCACACACACACACTGTCTGTCTCTCTCTTTCTCTCTCTCTCTCGCTCACACACACACATATTCTGTCTCTCTCTCACACACACTGTCTCTCTCTCTCTCTCACACACACACACAGACACACATTGTCTCTCTCTCTCTCTCACACACACACAGTCTCCCGCTCTTTCGCATACACACCGTCTGTCTCTCTGTCTCACACACTCTCTCTCTCTCGCATACACACAGACACTCTCTGTCTCTCTCTCTGTCTCTCTCTCACACACACACTGTCTCTCTCTCACACACTGTTTTTTTCTCTCTCTCAAACAGACACACTCTGTCTCTTTCTCACACACATTCTATCTCTCTCTCACACACAAACTCTGTCTCTGTTTTTCTCTCTCTCAAACACTCTCTCTCACACACAGACACAGTCTGTCTCTCTCTCTCACACACACACACAAACTCTGTCTCTGCTTTCTCCCTGTCTCTCACACACACACACTGTCTGTCTCTCCCTCTCACACTCACACACTCTGTCTATGTCTCTCAAACACACATTCTGTCTCCCTCTCTCACACAGACAGTCTCTCTCTCGCTCTCAAACACCCACACACACTCTCTCTCTCTCTCACACGCACAGACACACTCCGTCTCTCTCTCACACACGTTTTCCGTCTCTGTTTCTCTGTCTTTCATACGCACACACTGTCACTCTCTTATGCACACACACACTCTGTCTCTGTTCGTCTCTGTCTCACACAAACACACTGTCTTTCTCTCTCATACAGGCGAGGAATCATTTTCTCTCCGTGTATGGGGAATGAAGAAATGATTTCAGATTAAAATATTTTCGATCAGGTGACAGTTTCCGAGAAGCTGCAATTTTAATTTTTCAGTGAAGTTACAAACTTGTTTCGGAAGGTGCCAATGTCTTGCTTTCTGTGAACGGCCAAAGGTGAGACATCGCTAAGTTTTCTCAACAGAAATCGCGTCGCTTTCCGGTTCCGTTTAATGACATCGCGGCGAGAGTTTACTCGAGGGAGCTGCACCGGGAACATCCAGCCGTCGGCGAATTAGTCCGAGGCTCCACGATGGACGGTGCCGGTGGATGCAGAAAGGAAACCCCAAACCATCGATCACCATCTCGTTTCCGCCTGAACTGAATGTGTTCAGCAGCGCAGCAACATTGAAACTGAAAGCGGTTTGAATCAGGAAGTGCTGAGCGTGAACATGGATTCCAGGCAGCAGGTCCACAGTTTGATCGAGGAGGCAATTTGTCCCATTTGTCTGGATTTCTTTACCGACCCGGTTATACTGGATTGTGGCCGCTCCTGTATCACCCAGAGTTGGGAAAAGCAGGAGAGAAACTCCAGCCCGGAATGTAGACAGGAATTTCCAGAAAAAAACCTCAGGGTGAATCGGGCCTTAGCGAATCTGGCCGAGAAAGCTCGACAATTAAATCTGAATCCACAAGAGAAGGAAAGTAAATCTCACTGTGAGGAACATCAGGAAGAACTGAAGCTGTTTTGTGAAACTGACAAGAAATTGATCTGTCTGATTTGTAGAGATTCCCGGGAACACAAATCCCACAACTTCATGCCGATTAAAGAAGCTGTTGGAATCCACAAGGTAAAAGGGAACAGATTCCTGATTATTTCATCACATTTTCATGGTCTAACACTTTTCTTTTCTGATTTTCTCTCCCAATCCCAGGATCGGGTGAAATCTTCTTTAGATTCTCTCGCAGAGAAGAAATCGGAGGCTCTAGAAATGGGGCGGCAGCAGAAACAAAAGATTTCCCAAATTCAGGTAAAATCTCCCAGAGCACAGCTTCAAAATTTGATTCGTTAATTTGTTGATTTTTGTTTGCAGAAACATATTGTTTTTACGTTTCAATTCATAGGAGGAATCCAGAAACCTTCAGACCCACATCACGTCCGAATTTGCTCAAATGCACCAGATTCTCACTGAGAAAGAGCAGCGTTTACTCCGAGATCTCAGTGAACAAGAGGAAAACACTCTGAAACCAATGGAGGAAAACCTTTGTGAAATTCAAGATAATTTAAAGTCTATTCAGGAGAAACTTTCAAAGTTGGAAAAACAGTTGTAACAAACAGACGGAGTGATATTCCTGAAGGTGAGGGATTATATTTCTGATTTCAGCCTTCCTGCTTCTATGATGCTGCATGGCCTGCTGTGTTCATCCAGCTCTACACCTTGTTATCTCAGATTTTCCAGCATCTGCAGTTCCTATTATCTTGGATTATATTTCAGTTTAGTTCAGTGAAAGTGACTGTGAAAGTCCCAACATGATGCAGATACCCATCCTCCTTCATTCCCCCCTGGTCAATATCTCCCTCTGCTCCTTTCTCCCTCATGGGTTTCTCCACTTTCCTGTTCAGTATATTTTCCTCAATCACACTGTGTGACAATGGGTTCCACATTCTCATCACTTTCTTGATAAAGAATTTGATCCTGAACTTTCCATTGGATTTATTTGTAACTTGATGACTTTTCCACATCCAAACGTTCAGACTCCCTACAGGTGGAAGCATCTTCACTGAATCTATCAAATCCACTCCGTTATCATTTTAAACATCTGAATCAGATCTTCTCTTTTCTCGAGTTGTTTAATGTCACCAGTTAACTTCTGCACTTGTCAGTTGGTAAAATTACTTTCTCCCAACTTCAGTATCCTCAAGGCAATGTCCTCTTTCTATTCTGTGTTTGCAGCAATCAGAATGGGAGAGGTGGTGATGTAGTGGTAATACCACTGACCTAGTCATCCAGAAACCACAGCTAATGTCCTCTGGACATGGTTTCAAATTCCATCAGAGATGGTGAAACTTAAATTCAACACAAATAAAATCTTGCATTTTAAAGAAGGCTAGTCTAATGGTGACTCCATGTGACTCCAGACCCAGCAATTTAGTTGACTCTTGGGAACGGGCAATCACTGCTGGCTGACCCAGACCCATGACCCATTAATTAGTTGTCTTAAAAATGAAAACTGGGGCAGCACAGTGGCTCAGTGATTGGCACTGATGCCTCACAGTGTCAGGACCTGGGTTCGCTTCCAGCCTTGTGTGACTGAGTGGAGTTTATACATTCTCCCCATGTCTGCATAGGTTTCCTTTGAGTGCTATGGTTTCCTCCCACAGTCCAAATATATGCTGGTTAGGTGGAGTGGCCGTGGTAAATTGCCCTGTAGTGTCCAGGGATGTTTTGACTCACTGGATTAGCAATGGAAAATGTAAAGTTACAGGGACAAGGTAGTGGGATGGGTTTGGGTCGGATGCTCTTTGGAGGGTTGGTGTGGACTCGATGGGCCAAATGGCCTGTTTCCACACTGTAGGGAATCTATGACTCTATGACTCAATGTGAGTGTAATTGCTGCTTTTTTGGATTTAGACAGTCAGTGTCTGTCAACTCAGATTTGTGTTTTGTTTATTTCAGGAGGAAGCATCTCGGAAAAGGAGGTAGGACATGCACTTTACTGAAACTGATTGCAAATTAATGAAGTTACTCAGGAAAGTCTTTCTGGTGATTTCTTGATAAACTGTTTAATATTTACAGGATCAGCGATGAGATTGGTTGTATACTGTCACGAACAGATGGTGTCCAGTCCACCAAAAAAGCCAACATCCTTTTTCCATTTCCAGTGTGGACAGAAGTGGTGGAGGCCATGAAACCTAATAAAGGTCAGATAAGTTCCTTGTCCTGATTCTAATTTATACTTTAATTGTTACATTCTGACTATCCACCCTATCTGTGCCTCTCATCATCTTATACACCTCTATCAAGTCACCTCTCATCCTTCTTTGCTCCAATTAAAAAAGCCCTAGCTTCCTCAACCTTTCCTCATAAGACCTGCCCTCAGTCCAGGCAGCGTCCTGGTAAATCACCTCTGCACCCTCTCTAAAGCTTTCATATCTTTCTTATAATGAGGTGACCAGAACTGAACACAATATTCCAGTGTGGTTCAACCAGAGTTTTATAGATCTGCAGCATAACCTCGCGGCTCTTAAACTCAATTCCCCTCCCCTTGTCAGAGATGGGGCTATTTGCTGAAGATTGCATAATATCTAGCACTATTTGCAACCCACTCAGCTCGAGAATTTGTCCATGTTCAGATATAGAAAGACCAGACAGTATTGAGGCTTGGCCTGATGAGTGGCAAGTAATAATCATGCCCATATAAGTGCCAAGCAGTGAACATCTCCAGCATGAGACAGTTGAAACATCAGCCCTGACATCCAATGGTAATGCAACTCATTGCCATCACCTCAACATTCTGGATGTTAACATTGACCAGAAACTGAACTGGGTCACTTTCATTTTATACTGGACCATTGTTATCATTTTCTAATTTGGTGCAGATAGTCGCAAAGTTTTCATTTTATACCATTGTTTCAGTGAGCAGTTTACCCAGCTTTTTCCTATGGGCCCCACTCTGTCCTTGACTCATCTTTTCCGATTAATATGTTTGAAAAGCACTTTTTTTTTAGCCTCCCCATAAACCTGCATCTTAGTAATAGTAACCACAACACAACCTGATTTAAATTTGTTTTGGAAAAGGACACGAGAACTGAAGTGGTTCAAGAACACAGCTCCCCATCACTGTCTCAAGGGCAAGAAGAACATAAGAACATAAGACCATAAGAACTAGGAGCAGGAATAGGCCATCCGGCCCCTTGGGCCTGCCCTGCCATTTTTGAGACTCAGCTCCACTTACCCGCCCGCACACCATAACCCTTAATTCCTTTACTGTTCAAAAATTTATCTCGCCTTGCCTTAAAAACATTCAGTGAGGTAGCTTCAACCACTTCACTGGGCAAGGAATTCCACAGATTCACAACCTTTTGGGTGAAGAAGTTCCTCCTGACATCAGTCCTACATCTGCTTCCCTTTGTTTTGAGGCTATGCCCCCTAGTCCTAGTTTCATCTGCTAGTGGAAACAACCTCCCTGCCTTCACCTTATCTATTCCCTTCATAATCTTATATGTTTCTATAAGATCTCCCCTCATTCTTCTGAATTCCAATGAGCATAATCCCAGCCTACTCAGTGTCTCCTCATTTTCCAACCTTCTCAACTCTGGAATCAATCAAGTGAATCTCCTCTGCACCCCCTCCAGTGCTAGTATATCCCTTCTCAAGTAAAGAGACCAAAACTGCACACAGTACTCCAGGTGTGGCCTCACCAGGACCCTGTAAAGCTGCAGCATAGCCTCCCTGTTTTTAAACTCCATCCCTCGAGCAATGGCAGACAAAATTCCATTTGCCTTTTTAATTACCTGCTGCACCTGCAATCCTACTTTTAGCGATTCATGAACAAGGACACTCAAGTCCCTCTGCACAGCAGCGTGCTGCAATTTTTTACCATTTAAAACATAGTCCATTTTGCTGTTATTCCTACCAAAATGGATGACCTCACACTAATCAACATTGTACTCCATCTGCCAGACCTTTGCCCACTCACTTAGACTATCTATATCCCTCTGCAGACTTTCAGTGTCTTCTGCACACTTTGCTCTACCACTCATCTTAGTGTCATCTGCAAATTTTGACACACCACACTTAGTTCCCAACTCCAAATCATCCATGTAAATTGTAAACAATTGCTGTCCCAACACTGATCCCTGAGGCACACCGCTAGCCACTGACCGCCAACCAGAAAAACACCCATTTACCCCTACTCATTGCTTTCTGCTAGTCAACTGATCCTCTATCCATGCCAATACATTACCTGTAATACCGTGCAACTTTATTTTATTTAGCAGCCTTTGGTGTGGCACCTTGTCAAATGCCTTCTGGAAATCTAGATACACCACATCCACAGGATCCCCATTTTAGATGGGGATCCTGAAGAAGGGATGGGAAATAAGTGCTGACCCAGCCAGCCACACCCATATCCCATGAATGTATAAAAAAGAAAATGCTCTACAAACAGGTTTCTTGGATTGGCGTAGGCAGATTGAATTAAAACAAGGCAGGATCTAGTCAAAGCAGATTGTGAACAGGTATTTGTGGGATAATCTATGCAGCACTGTGCGGGGAGCAGGTGGGGGTGGGTGCTGAAAAAGGGAATGGGCAGAGGACAGGACCAAAACCTTCCCTTTCGGGTGAAGTGTAGGAACAACATGCCCTGAGAGCCCTGGATGTCTCAAAATATTCAAGGCTGGACAAGAAGGTAAAAAAGATGTTTTCAACAAGTGAATAAGAACAAAATAGCAGACGTCATTGTGGATTTTCAAAAGAGCAGTGGGGAAGGTAAGAAATCATTAAGAAAGCACAGAGAGTTGTTAAACTTTGGGAGAATCCCAAGAAATTGAACAGGTACATTAAAGGGAAGAAAATAACCAGGGAAAGAGGACACATTTGGGACCAAGGGGCCAATCTATGTGTTGAGTAAGAGGACATTGGTAGAGTGTTAAATGAATACTTCACTTCTGTCTTCACTTGGGAGAAGGAGGATGTTGATACAGAATTTGGGAAGAGGTCCTCGAGCAGACTGACATAGGGAGTAAGGAGATATTGGAGGATTTTGACAGTGGACGAACCCCCAGGTCCAGATGAGGTGTCTCCCAGGTTGCTATACAGGGGAGGAAATTACAGGGGCTCTGACCCCAAATGTTTAATTTGTCCCTTGCTCCAGGGAAGGTGCCAGAGGCCTGGGGGACAGCTCAGGCACTTCCACTTTTCAAGGAGGGTGTTAGAGACAAACCAGGGAATTACAGACCAGTGAATCTCTCATCAGTGTTCGGGAAACTATTGGAGAAAATCCCAAAGGGGATAATTCATCTCCACCTGGAGAGGCAAGATGTGATTAGGGATAGTCAGCATGGCTATATCAGAGGGAGGTCACACCTAACATTTTTGATGGAATTTTTCAAGGAGGTGACCAAGTGTGTAGATGTGGGTAGAGCAGTTCATGTAGTTTACATGGATTTCAGCAAAGCCTTTGAGAGTGTTCCACTTTTAATTGACAAAGACAGTAAGAGCACATGGTTTCCAGGGTAACCTGTCAAGATGCATCCAAAATTAGCTCAGTGATAGGAGATAGAGCAAGGCGTTAGATGACTGTTTATGTTGCCAGAGGCTAGTGTGCAGTGGTATCGTTTTGGATCAGTGCTGGGTGTCTGATTGTTTGTGATTTATTTAAATGATATCAATGGGAATGTGGGGAAATGATAAGTAAGTTTGCAGATGATATGAAGGTTGGCTGGATGGTTAATATTGAGGAAGAAGGCCTTAGGTTCCAGGAAGTTATCGATGCATTGGTTGAATTGGCAGATCAATGGTAGATGGAATTTGATTCTGAAAAGTGTGAGGTGATGCACTTTGGAAGAAGTAACAAGACAAGCAGTTACTCAAAAAATGGCAGGACACTAGGAAGCTCAGAGGAGCAGAGGGATCTTACAGTGTGTATTCACAGATCCATGAAGCTGGCTGAACATGTCAAAAGGGTACTTAGGAAGGTGTTTGCCTTTATCACTTGAGGCAGAGATTATAAAACCAGGAGGTTATGTTTCAGCTGTACAGGACTTTGGTTATCGGGTCAGCAATAAGGGACCATAATTTTAAGATGAAGGGCAGGAGGTTTCAGGAGTACTTGAGGAAACCTTTTTCACCCACGGAATGCGTGCCTGGGAGACCACGAGAGGGGGAACCGCACAACATTCAAGGCAATGGGCCAAGAGCTGGAAAGTGGGATTCCTGTGGCTAGGCCGGTGCAAAATCAATGGATTGAAGGGCCTCTTCTGTACTGTATGACTCTGTGACATTCAATACACATGTTTTATTTACTATTAGAGGGAAATCATGTGTTGAAACAGGCACATGTGACAATTTACAGTGCAATTGTCTGAACAATGCTGAATTCTTACCTGGTCATTCCAAATATTTTCTATTTTAAGCATTTTGTTTTAAAAAGTCTCTTCAGTCAAAGTAGTTGCTGCCCTTCCCTATGAGCAACATATTGTGTGCTCATAATCAGCAGCAAAAGCTGCAGCTTCAGTGTGAGAAGGAAAGAGGGGAATGATAAAGGGAAATGAAAAAAGTGTTGATAAGAGACTGAGAAAGAACTTACTGTTACAAAGCTCTGTGTTATTTCCTGGGAATTCCTAAGCACTTCAAAATCTATTAACTACTTTTTGACGTGTGATTAATATTGTTAAGCAAGTTTTGTAATTGCTACTAAAATTGATTGATTTGAATTTGTTTGAAAAGGAGAGGTTAAATTCATTTTTTAAGTAGGCAATGTGGCAATATTTGAATGATGATGATAATTAAAATATTAAAATACATTTCCTGCATTCCTTGCTATTTTGTGAAAGGGAAAGCCATTGTTGAGTTGAATTTCAGAATTATACAATGGTTTCAACACAGAAAGAGGCCATTCAGCCTGTCTTGTCTGTTCTGGCCCTCTGCAACAGAAATTCACTTATTGCCACTTATCCACTTTTTCCCGCCAGCCCTGCAAATTTATGCTCTTCATTTAATGGTTCAATTCTGTTTTGAGAGACATGATTGCCTCTGCCTCCACCAGACTCTCAGGCAGTGCATTCCAGACAGTCATAGAGACATACAGCATGGAAACAGACCATTCGGTCCAACTCATCCATGATATCCTCGATTCATGTATTCCCATTTGCCAGCATTTGGTTCATATCCCTCTAAACCCTTCCTATTCATATCCCCA